ACCGGCATGAAGTACAGGTAAGGCAGCGCCGCGAGGGCCAAGGTGTGGAGACGGCACAGGGGATGCTGTGTGGTGATGGTTTGACACCTCGTCGGGAGAATGGCTCTCACCTGTGCTCACCTTGGCTTCCCTGTGCCTCGCCAAGCCTGTGAGGAGTCGATGCTCTTGGCGCGGCGGGTGATCTGGTGCTGCGTGTGCTACAGAGGTGGCAGCCAGTCAGCGCTGTTAGCGCTCACCTGCTTTGTGATCTTTGAGCTTCTCACCTGACATTCCCACTTGCTGTTTGGGTGGTTGCATCTGCAAACAGCTCTGGGCTTTAGAGAAAGACAGCTGGAGCAAACAGCCACTGAAGGGCTGTCTGCTTCACAGGTGTACATCTCCATCTGATGGGGGTACATCTCCACCTGAGGGGTGTACATTTGCGATCTGATGAGTGTACATCTCTATCTGAGGGGTGTGCATCTCCACTGGCCCGGTGTGCGTCTCTGCCCGACTGACAGCTGTGCGTCGTGTAGTGGGTGCGCCGTGAATTGTGTGTGTGGGTCGCAGTGCAAGGTGTATCAGGATTTCAGCTGGTATTTGTCTTTCTTTCAGAATTTGTCCTTATTTGCCCTTCTCTGGGCAGCCGCAGAGGCAGCCATGGCCCCTTGGAGTGGCGGGGCTGCTCTGTCCAGTGCGCCCCTCCCCACTCTCCCCTGGTATCACGGGCGGGGTGATGGGGTGCAGTAACACAGCTCAGGATTGGCGAGGGGCACCAGGGCTGGGGACAATGGCTGTTCCCCCTGTGCAGGGGTGCTCCTCGTGCCCCACTGCAGTGAAGCGCCTGGGAGCTGGCAGCTGCCAGCTCCTGCCGTGCTGCACTGTGCCGAGCCGTGCTGCGCCTCAGGTCAGGTTCCCCTCCACTCACAATGACCGCGGTAACATTTACACAGTGGCAAGAGCCCATCAAATATTCATGGGGACATTATCTATTGATGGGAGCTGCTGGCACAGGCACGCCCAAAGGTGCTCCTCCTTTGGCCATGTCCGCGCTGCCCTCAAAAATCTATGGAGTTTCTCCTCCTCCGGAGGCTGCCGACTGCTGTCGGGTCTCCCCCCGCGCTGGAGCCGGCGCCGGCACCGGTGCTGGTAGGATTACCAGCTAAGGAGCTTTGCGGCAGAGGGAAGCGGAGGAGATTACAAGATTTCTCATTAGGTTGGGGGCGAATGTGCGTAATTTCCCACAAGCTCTGTTCCCGCATCTTGCTCTGTCCTGAGGGGCAAGGTGGGTGCAGGCAGCCGGCACATGGCCCCGGCTGCAGGACAGTGCTGCAGCACGGTGACCTGTGTCCCTGCTTTGGCAGAAGATGCTGGGCTGGGGTTCACCTTGCTCATCTTTGCTTGCACTGGGCAAAATTTGAGGGATATGCTGTTGGGGCCGTGGCCCCAAGGGGAAAAACCAGTCCGACTTCGGCAAAGAGTCGGGCTCTGCTGCTGGAGAGCCTTCAGCCTGCCGCCTGCGCCCTTGCCCAGCCGTGGGGTTGGCAGCGTACACGCAGTGCTGCCAGAGGGTTTGGTTTCAGACCTGTGCAAGGGGATGCTGTGCTGCGGTGCGTGGCCGGAGGGAGGCAAGGAAGAACCCCTTCACTGCGTGGCCTCAGCCCCCAGTGTGCCCCAAAACGGGGCTGGGCCAGCAGCCGCGCCCGCGGGGGGATGCCCAGCAGGGCACGGCGGGGTCCTGCCCCGCCGAGGCTCCTCGGGGGACCTCGGCAACGGCGCTGCCCTTCCTGCCCCCACCTGCCCGCGTGCCGCTCGCTCGCTTCCTGAGCTCATCAAATATTGAGGGCAGGAGGGCTGACGGGAGCTCCGCGCCCGCCGCCTCGCAGCCCCCCGCCGTCACGTTGGCGGCGCGCGGGAGGAGCTCCCGCCTCGCCCGGGGCGCCGGCTAAATTTAGGCAGCTGGCGCTGCTGCCCGGCGGAGCAGCATGCAGGTCTCCTTTGTGTGCTCCGAGCACAGCATCAAGAGCCGGAGCGCGGAGGACCGGCTGAACCGACAGAATGCCGGCAGCCCCAGCCTCGGCACCCGCGGCAAGTTCCGCGCGGTGGCCATGGTGGCCCGCAGCCTGGGGCAGCTCTCGGTGCAGAACGCCCCCTCCTCCAGCGAGTCCAGCGTCAAGCAGCCGGGGATGAAATACCGGTAGGAAACGGGCACTGCTGGGGCTTTCCCTGTTTCTTACCGGGATCGGGGCGGCCTGGGGGTATGGGGGCCGCACTCCCCTAATTCCCGGTTCGCGACCGGCTCTGTCGGTGTCTCGGCGCTAAAAGTGCTGACCGTGCGCCTCCGTGTGCTTCCTCGCTGTTTGCTCCTGTCCCTTCGGGGCAGCCTTGATTCAGCCGCGCGTAAAAGGGTGGGGGGGACAAGGGACCCGAAAATTCAGGATAGGATTAGCAGCATCCCCAGCGCCTGCCGAGCCGGGTGGGTTTGGGAGTCACGGCAGCGTTAATCCGGTGTGCCATGGCATCCTTACGGTGCTGACAGAGGCTCACTACCCTGCAAAGTGAGCATGGAACCGTAAGCTGGGATTCGGGTCTGGCTGCCCACGGTGGGCGTAGAAATGAAAGGTGGTGTGTGCACGTGGGGTGCTGGTCCCCCCAGCCAGCACCCACGGGGCTCATGCACTCCACGTCCCTGGCTCTGGGGCAGAGCGCTCAGGGCTTCCCTCGCCGAGTTTTAGTGTGCACCCCTTGTGGGGCTGGGGCTTCCCCCGGGTGAGCAGGGTGAGCATGCACCCCAGCACAGGGCAGGCCCCCCCCCCAAGATGAGCCTGCACGCCACAGTCCAGCTGCCAGCGGCTGCGTGCCCCCTCTGCAGCCCAGATGTGCCGGCATTAGGCACAAAGCACGTCAGAGCGCAGGGGTGAGCCCGGCTGTTACCTACCAGCATCATCCAGATCAGCTGGTTCCCCTCACCTGGGCACTGGGGAGGGCACTGGGATCGCTCCATCCAGCTCTGGAACACCAAACCTTTGCGCTGGTTGCAGCAGTGCTGGGGCTGTGTGCGGTGGCATCCTCGGGGCTCGGCGCTCCTGCCCCACTGTCACATCCCCATCCGGAGGAGAAGCACAGTGGGACCACCCTCTCCCAGGCAGTGGGTGATCAGCTCGGGGGTTCCCACTGGTGGCTGCTGGATAGACAGTGATGCAGGGGGTTGCTCCAAGTGAGGGGATGGGATAGGAAGGCCGTGGCACAGCGCAGGGGGATGCCTGGCTTTCCCAAGTTCTGCCAGTATCTCCATTGGGCAGCTGGTCAACACACTTTCGAGCTGGAAAGCTGGGAGCAGTGATAGCCACTTGCCCAGGAGGACCCTGGGATGCCTCTGGAATGGCCAGGATGGGTCTAATGCTGTCTACTCTCTGTGGAAATCCCCAGGACCATGGCTTCTCCCCACCATGCAATGCTCTAAAAACGCCACGGGGCTGGGGGAGCGCCCATACCTCCAGGTGCTGGGCAATAAGACAGCAGCATGGAAGGACAGCGCCCCAACTTGGCCCACCACGGTTGGGCCGTGGCTGCTCCCTGCCTGGCTCGCGGTGCCCGTGTCGGCGGTGCCGGCGGTGGCAGTGCCTCGGTTGCTATGCGACACCCGCGCGGGCGAGCTGCCGCGGCTCACCTACACTTTATTTATTTTAACGCTCATTTCTCGAGCCTTTGTCATTTTTAACAAGTAACTGGCTCTCCATCACTGTGGCGAAGGCGTCTGCCAGCTCGGCCCCCTTTCCGAAAGCTGTTCTCCAGTTCCTTGTGCCGGTCAAATTTTCTGGGGTGCTCCATTTCTCCAGGATGTTGCTCCACTCCCAAGCACCCTCACCCTGTGCAAGTCGTGTGCTTCCCTGTGCCGTGATGCAGAGAACAAGCACAATTCATACCATGTGTGGGATGCTTCAGTCCCGATCTACCAGCTCTCCCTGCTTCCCGTTTCACCCCCCTGTGCCAGCAGCACTCTCAGGGCAGGCAGACACCCCGGCCTTATCACAGGAAACTGCTTTAACGAGGTCACTGCCTGCTGCCCCCCCCCCCGATAACCTTGCCAGGCATGGCATCGCTGCACCAGTGCTGGTGGTGCCACCAGTGAGCTATGGGATGCCTGGTCTGGGATGGCTCTTTAATTGGTTGCAGGGGGATTGCACTGTGGGATTGTCCCATGTGGGGATGGGGTGGGCACCAGGGACCACCACCACACCTCCCAGCCCCCATGCCCACTGCATTCAGTGGCACACGGGGTGCATAAGACGGCCTTTTGGGGCTTTCTGGCGCCTTTCCTGATGCTCTCTGTCTTCCAGGAACCTCGGGAAGTCTGGGCTGCGCGTGTCCTGCCTGGGCCTGGGTAAGTGCCAGGGTTTGCCGCAGCCCCTCGGCATCCCCTCGGTCCTGCAGCGAGTGCCGGTGCTCCCCGGCGAGGGCGGCGCTCGCCTGCCCCAGCGATGTTTGCGCAGGGAAGGAAAGGGTTTCCCTCAGCCCTGCGGCCGTTTTGAGTCACAGCCCAGAAATTGTCAAATTATTTTCTCTCTTTGTGATGCGATAGGAAG